CGTACCCCCGCCCCCCGCCCCCCCCCCCCCAAAATACATTTCCGCGCGTACCAAACGCAAAATTACAATTTTAACCGAAAACGCTCTTTTTAAAATCGCAAACCGCATACCCGTTAAAATTATTATTATATTAATTAAAAGTTTGGCAATAACGTAAAAGCAACCCGCAAATTTTTTTAATAGCAACGTAATAATTTTATTCCATATAACCGTTATTAAATATACAAAAAATATTGCATAAATTACCAAAATATTCGGCAGCAAAGCAATATACCAAATCCAAATTTATAACGTTATAATTAAAAGCGTTCGTTAAAATGCCGCTAACAATAACAATAAATTGTTGCATAAATTTAAAGCGCAAAATATTAAAGCAAAAATTAATTTTATCCATATATAAAACGTTTAACAACCGGAAAAGTACGTTACGGTACTAACCAAAATTATATTTCCCGCCGCAACCCAAACCGCATACAATAACGGTTTAATATTTAAAAGTAAAATCCTTAACGTTAAACCGTTTGCAACCGGGGCGAAAACCGTTTAATGTTATAAATGTTACGGGTAAAAATATAAATCGAAATTTTGCAAAAAAACGGCCCGTTGCCCGCATTGCGCTAAATTATTGCATAGCAACGGTAAAAAAGGAAAACTTTTGTGCCCGTTTTATAACAATTAATTTATTATAAAAAAAAGCAAGCCGAAATGCTGCAATTACGAAAGTAACCACCCGGCCTTTTAACAAATGTGCCCCGCAGCAAAAAAAAAGGTTAAAAAAGCCAAAAACGCGTTTTTAAACCGGCCGAAACAATTTGCTTTAAAAATAAAAAACAAACGCGCACCCCAACCAAATCAAATAAACCAACCGGCCGCTTTTACTTTTCCTTTTTCCGCATTTATCCGCTCCCCGTTTAATCCCCCCCAACCGTTACAAAAAAAAATAATTTGCTTAATTTAACATTATTAACAAAACGCAAACGGAACGGCTTTTTACTAAAAATAACAAAAACAAAAAAAAATTTAATTAAAAAGCGGGTAAATAAATTACGAAAATCCCGCAGCAAAAAAACGTTAAACTTTTCCAAACCCGTTTTTATAATAAACCAATACTTTACAAACCCAAATTTTGCTTTTTTCGGCTTTAATAAAATAAAAGGAACAAAAGGAACAAACGAAAGCCGAACCGTTAATAACCTAATAATACTTAGCAATACCGCAATTACCAATATTAATTTTATTTTTGCCCCAAACCACAAAGCTTTCGCTTTACCCTTACCCCAACCGTTTGCATCCCAACCGGCCCGGCCCGGCCTTATACCGGTCCCGTTTAACCTTTTTACAGCCGGAATTACGTTTATTTTTAACTAACCAATTAACAATAATAGCAATTTATAAAAATAAACATATTATATTAAAATATGGAAAAAAGCAAAAAAAAAAAGCAATTTTCCCTTTTATAGCAATAAATAATATAACAATATAATTATTTAAAAGCCAAAGCATAATTAGCACGGGAATTTATCGAAATCGTATAGTTGCAATTATAAATTTATTTATTACCAAAAATTCAATTCCAACGCAACACTTTACGTATACAACCGCTTAACCCCCAAATTATAAACCGCCCGGTACGGTTACAATTAGGCTTTAATTACAATTATTACGCCGGAAAGCCCATTAAAAATATATTCGATATATTTACCAAACCCTAAAGCAAATTCTAATTGGGCAATACCTTTTACCATAATCGCTATTTATTTAACCCAAAAGCATATAATCCTTACAAGTACTTTTAACCTTTACCATTTAATTTAAAATTTATACAATAAATACAACGCAAAAAGCGAAACCTTTTTAAAATTAGCACGCCGCGAATGGTTCGAATTAGCAACGCTTTACGGGAAAATTACAAAAAAAAACGAAAAAAAGAAATAGCACAATTAATTACGTTTAAATAACGCAATAATTTAAAATAAAATATTTAAAATAAAATAATACAATAAAAAAATCCAACCATTTATTCCAAATACTTTGCGTTTTTATCGAACCGTAGCAATTTTAACTTTAACAAACCAAAAGTTAAAAATGGAAAAACGTTAAGCTAATAAACGAATTTATAAAATTTAAAGCCAAAATAATTAATAAATTAATAATAACCGGAAATATATATAACGCCGAAATTATAAATAAAAAAACGAATAAATTAATGCAGCAATTAACCAAATTTACTAACCAATTTGCCTTTTAACGGAAACCAAACCCTTTTAACAAACGCGCCCTTTATTAAATACAAAAATTCAATAACTTTTGCAAAAAAACAAGCCATTTATAACGCGCATTTACCAAAAACAAAATGCAAACAATATAAAAAGCGTATAAAACCGCAAATAAAGCATTCGTTAAAAAAAAACGTTAAATAATATCCAACCATTAAAAAAGCGTCGTTTCCGCAACGGAACAAAACATTAAAAAAAACGGCGCATTTTAAAAATTCGAAAAATAAGCCCGCTTAAAAAGCTTTTAAAAAAAAACCCGAATCGGTTATTAAATTTAATTAAAATTGGAAAAAATTTAAATTCGTTACGCAATTATTAAAAAAAAGTTAAAATTTTATTAACCAAATTCTTTTTAAACCCGTTAACCAATACATTTAATATTAGCAAAACCAATTTTCCAAACCATTTTTTCCCAAACCCTTTTTAAATGCCCGTATTTGTTACCCCGTAAAATATTATGGAAGCAACGGGCCGTATTAAATTATAAAAAGCTACCGGCCAAAATTATTTCCCGAACGAATTATTTAAAGCCGCCGAATTGCCGGGCGCAACCGTTATTGCAAAATTTGCTAACGCAATAATCGCTACAAGCTATTTTCCAAAGCGCTTTAAAAAAGCCTTTACGGTAATGCTATTTAAATTAAACAAAATTACCGAAAAAAAATAAACCAAAAAATGGAAATTTATTGCTTTGTTATTATTAATTTTAAAAGCTATTAAATTAATTATAATAAAATAAATTGCTAATAAAGCGGAAAAAAAAGCATCCTTTCCAACGGCTAAATGGGCAACCAATGGGTTAAAAGCACGGAATTAGCAATTTAAAAAGTAATAAAAGCTATTATTACAATATAAAATTACGGCGTTACCGTATTGCTGCTATAATTTAATTTATCCGGAACATTCGATACCGTTAACTATTTACGGTTACTAACTACGTTAAAAAAGCACGGCTTTCCTTTACCAATTGTAAAATGGGTAAAAGGGTAGCTAGCAAATAAAACGGCCATTTTGCAATTTAACGGCAACACGTCGAACCTTATCCCAATCCGAACCGGAATCCCCCAAAGTTCCCCCTTATCCCCCATAACTAAAAACGGAGAAATTGGGACTAAAAGCGTTCCTGTAAAATAAGAACGTCCCCAACGCGCACACTCCCCGTTGCCCGTGCAAAACCGGGCAACGAAAAACAACATTTTACTTGCTAACCGTATGCCCCCTCCACGCCAAATGGAAAGCAGGTTTAAGTTAAAAAAATACAAGCCACCGCAAAGCATATTTCGAACGAT